ATATGTTTGGGTTAGTCAGGGGTTAATGAAATACCAACCCCTAGACTTCCACCTTATCTGAAATCATGAATTTATTGAAGAATGTGTTAATGTGGTTGATTTTATTCATCCCAGGTCAAGGCTTTTCAAATTCCTTCTATGTCTCCTCCCTCCCCCCTTTTTCCTTTCACAGCAAACTTACAATGATGTTTAAACAAAGGTTTCTCAACACAAAGAACAAATTTACACAGTAAAGTTTTTTTGCAAACTCAAAGCCCTGTCTGGATGCATTCCAGATTTTAAGGACAGAGGAAAGCAGGGGGATTGTATTTAACACAGACCAGAAATTATTCCCACCTTCTGGAGAGCAACGGTTCATATCACCCTTGATTCCATGGGTAGAACATAGATGGGAAGATTCTACTCTTATTTTTTCCTAGTGCATTTCATTATTTGGGCCACAGAGGCAAAATTACCACATTACTAATCAAGTGTATTACATATAGTACACTGTTTTATGGGTTAGTGTTGCCCTTGTTGTAAATCTATAAAAAAAATGTATGTACCTTGACTCCCTGAACTGTCCAAAGTTGTTTGTTTATTTTCTTTTCCAATGGAAGGATGAAAGACTTTTGGTTCCTGAGTTGGAGTGGACAGTATTCCTTAACCTGCATTTAATGGATTGGTATTTGGAAATTAACCTTCCAGGGTTTTAACCTCATACAAAGACATGTTTACAGATTGAGAGTTGTTAATGTCAGCCAACCTGATCAGCTTTTGAGGCATCACTACATTTAGTTGAAGTCTATTAAATGTGGCTTTTCGGCTTTGGATTTGAGTCTTATAAGTTAGTAGAGAGTAGAAAAATGGATGAATAGTCCCAAATAAAGTCTCCCTTTAAACAGCAGTAGAAGATCGAAGGTACTTGATAGCGTGTAGATGTGTAGACTCTTCTACAGGGATGGGTACGTCCAAATGTCTTAAAATATTTGTGTGTATATATGGAGACAAAAAGAGAGATGAGGGCAACCAATAATGCAATAAGTATGAATCCAGAATAAGATATATGTATAAAAATGTAGTGCACTCACATTTAAAAGAGCTATATCCAGCTCTGGTGTGAAGGGCATACAGCGGTATAATCCCCTATAAATATAAATGTGAATAGGTTGGCGCAAAACTTAAGGTTAATTTAAAAAAATGCAGCAACCAACAAAGAAAATCTTGGTAAAAAGATTAAACAGAACAAACACATAAAAATGCTGGTGCACAGTGTCTTATAATCACTCTCTGTCAATATCTTATATAGTTACATAGCTGAAAATAGACTTGCGTCCATCAAGTTCAGAAGGCTTTATATATAGAAGGCTTTATCAATAAGCATACGTGTATCAAACCAAAGTGCAATCTCAGTGTTTAAAAACCATTAAAAAAAGTGCAGTTGTGATGGTTATATAAAGAGACATGTGCTTATACTTGTGAGACATTAATTCAAGTATCTAAGAAGAAAACAGAAAGCGAGAACTCCTATTGCGATATAGTACAAAAATTGTATATGAGAAAAATATTGCTCTTTAATTAGCTCCCTCACAAAATCAGAGTGGTTAAAGCACCACTCGCAGCTATAGCACTCAGGAAGGATCAGCCTCTGGTGTGCGTGGGACCCGTACGATATATAGATGACCAGGTATGTGCAAATTTTATTCCAATGTCGCAATTAAAAACATATAATCTGTGCAGTCCTTCAACAGCTCACCAGCTCTTGGCAACGGATGGTGATAGCTTGTAAAACCATTCTGCTCGTCGCTGTGCTGGGATGCTTTCGCCGATAAACGTCCACAGTACTTCCTGCTTCCTGGTTCGTGACGCATTTTGCCCCTGCCCTTGGGGCTTTGTCAAACGTGCTGTGTATCCTGCCACTCTTCCTTGCTTTATTTATGCAGGCACTTAAGTTCCAATTACTAGCTCATGCTACTAACGGGTAATTCAAATCCAATTAACAATTCCTGCTATCAAGTCCTTTCTATAAATAAAAACGAATTCCTAAAAATCTCATATGTAATAAAAACCCAAAATACATTCTACATCAAAACCATAAAAGTCTCTTTCAGTTCAAACACATTTAAAAAAAATCAAGCATTTTATGCATAAAACCACATGCCAGTAGTTCTCAAACCTTTAAATGAGAACCCCACAGGTGAGGTTGGGGTCGATAACCTAAACCTTAATTACAGAAAATAGACATCTGTTCTTTTCCAAGAGCCACCTTAGAGAAAAAAAGTAATAGAAAATAAATAAATACATTATTAGTCCCCTTTTGGACATAAATTAATAATCATTGAATATATGCAAAGTACAGAGGAAAAAAATCTTAAGAAAAACCCCCCAGGAAAATAACACCTAAAATACATAAAAAATGGGGTAGATTGTGTAAATGAAATCTTTCAATAAAATACTAAAATATGTCAGTTAAAAATATAAACCACTTCCCAGAAATAAATGGATAAACCCAAAAATATAGTAGCAAATACCTGAACCATTACCAGAAGGTAAATACAAAACTAAAAAAATAAAAACAAAAATAAATACTCTAAAATTATTGCACCAAAAAACCATAATAAAAACAGGTTTGGAGACTGTAGAAGGGATCTAAGAATTAAAAAGGGTAAAACAAGGTATTTATTTATTTAGTTTTATTTATTTATTTTTTTTATAAAAATTACATAATTCAAAATCTTTGTTGAGACCGGACGGGGTCAGCAATTCCAATTGGAAAATCCATCTCATTTCCTCCCATCCGATCTTCCGTATAAAATGCCCCCCTCTCCAATCTCTCAACACCCTTTTAATGCCTATAAATTCTAATCCACTTGGGTCTTGTCCGTGCATCCTTTTAAAATGTTCTGATACACTATTACTTTCTACTCCTTTTTTATGTTATAGATGTGTTCTCTGATCCTTACGTGTTGTCCTCCCCACATATTGTAATTCACACAACACTTCACTTCAGTAGATAAATGACGTTGTTACTGTGACAAGTAATATGTTCTCTAATAGTAAACTCTTCCTGTGTCCTTTCTGATTTACATTTTAGTGTTACATTTCCCTGTGTGTGTGGCATATTCTTGCAAGCGAGGCACATCCTACATCTATGAAAGTCAATAGAGTTTCCTAAAAAATTACTTACATGCTTCTTAGTACTCTTCTTTGAATAGCTACTTACTAGTGAATTCTTTAGATTTGGGGCACCTTCAAAAGGGGATCTGGTTTGGGTGGTAGTAGTTGCTCAAGTCCCATTCAGTTTTAAGTATGGGCCAGAATTTATTAATCTTTTATTATTAAAACTTCATTAGAATTATCCTCACCATTTTTAATTATTTTACCTATTTGGATTAATTCTGTTTGCGTAATTGGTTCAGCCTCTCTTAAAGCTTTTTCAAAAATATCTTCGGGATATTGTTTTTCTCTGAATTTATTCAGGAGGTCATCTGCTTGCTGCTTAAACACTTCCTCCTCCGTGTAGTTGCGTTTTATTCTAAGTAATAGGCCCTTTGGTATGTTATTAAGCAACGGAGAATAATGTCCACTGTTATATACGACGTAGCCATTCACATCTACTTTCTTAAAGAAGGTTTGTGTTTTGAGGACTCCTCCTTATACATAGATTTAAAAGTCTAAAAAGTCAATAGATGAGGTACAAATGTTACTTGTAAGACGTATTGCCAAAGTATAGTCATTAAGAAAATGTAAAAAAAAAATTTAATTGTCCTCGGGGCCTTCCCAGATAAAAGTCATATCATCCATATAATGACGATAGGCAAGTACCCGTGCACTCCAATCATGTTGGCCATAGATGAACAAATTCTCTCAATGGGCCATAAAAATATAAGCATAATATAACCTAATTTTTTCCCAATTCCCTGAGGATTTTTTAAATGTCAGTGATGTATTGTCTGTAAGAATACTGACCCCTCTGTCACATTCACAACTACTTTATTTAAATCTAATGTAACCAAAAAAACTTACAAAATCAAAGACTTCATTAGTTGCAACACTAAAAATGTAATCTACCAACTGGAGTGCCCCTGTGGCCTTGGTATGCAGGTAGGTACAACAGTGCCTGTATCGCCACAACAGCATCTGTAGGCTCGTTTTTCATAGTCATGACATAGCAATATTGTGGCATGTTTGGTATGCATACATTTTTAAATGAAAGAGGTAACAGTAGAGTAAATAAGCTGTTAACATTATGGTATAGGCTACATTGGTATGACTAGCTTGCAGCATCACGATTGAGACAACAGGCTTGTAAACTAATGAAAAAAACTAAAAAAACTGTGAAATAAGATTTGCTTGCCGTGTTGTCACCAGAGGTGCATAATAAAGCGAACATGCTATTTGCGATATGGTGCAGGCTGGAATGGTGTAACTAATGTGAGTAGTCACAATTGTACCACCCGGCTTGTGTCATTAAGTATCTATGCTTGTTGAGTGGTATGTGTGTTTAGTCGCGGTTGTCGCGTTAGGGGTCCCCAGGCGGCCACCGAGCCGGTGCACGCCATGTGCCAAGCATTGCGTGTTAAGCGCGTGCAAGTGTATCCTGGTTTGTCTGTGTCTTAGCAAGGTGTCATTCCTAGAAAACCACGGTCCCTCTGTCTCTGCTTACACTAATGTGGAGTACATGCCGGTCCAGTGTCCCCCTTGTCAGCTTGGCGGTGGGTGCTACACGTGTGTATGTGTACAGCTGGAGTATGCCTATATTAGGTAAATGCCTCGTGCGTGTCTAGCCTCCTCAGCCTGTTTCTGTTTACCGCCCGTGCAGTGCCTATGTTTGTGTGAACGTATGGTTATCTATGCTATATCATGCAGCCATGGCCAATACTTAAGTCTCTATATCATAGGGCCAAAGTTCTCCATGCGGCTACCCGCGCGGGAGCAGTAGGATGGGCTGGCTTACATTGTGGTTAGTTCCACCATCCCTCCGCTCCTTTGGGGTTTAAAGTCCCGGTTTAGCTTATGCCTTAGATCGGGTTCGGGCATGGGGGGTGGTGCGGTGACGTGGGGCAGGGTCTTGGCAAGTCTCCCCTATAGCCCCGGGCTTGTGTGAAGGCCTGCGAACCATGGCCGCGAACCAGGTTGCTCACGTAGGAGGCCAAGTTCTTCCTCTGTGGGGGGATGCTGTGGTTCCTGGTGGTTAATCGGCATCGGATTCCCAGCGCAGGCGGCCGGTGCTCCGGGATTGCTTCCCCGGCGGTCTTCAGCCCAGGTGGGCCTGTCATGTGCGGCAGCATCGACGTTTGGAAAGTGCGCCCAGGGAGGTCCCGCTCTGCCCCTGCTCTCCCTCTGCCTCCACACTCCCCTCCGCCGCTGTTGCAGACGTTGCTAGGCGGGTTGGCATTGTATGATAAAGCAAACAAATAAAGCTTTAGTGTGCAAATATAAAAAGTCAAACAGCACAGTGTTTCTCTAATCAATGTAAGGGTTGGAATAGCCAGTTAGATCAGATAAGAGCAAGCATGTCAAACTCAAAGGCTAACATGGGCCAAATAAACAAGGTTTAAGCTTATGTGGGCCGCAAAAAAACTATAACTTCAGTTTCATAGAAATGTAGGTTTATTTAAAAAAGTACAGTATAAAAAAAGTTACCTAACTGACACTGGTTGTCCTCATGCTCGCATGGCTTCAAAGTAAACAAAACAGCTAATTTATTTTAAGAATACGTGCATTTGCATATAACCAATGCTTCAGTCCAACTACCTTGACATATTAAGAAAAGTTTGGTAACGGGACTGAAATGGTGAACGTATGCTGTTGCACAACTGTAAAAAACAAATTATGTTACCTTGCTGAGTTTGAAGTCCTACAAGTGTGTTCTTCACTTTGGCTGAGATCATCAAACTTGATGATCTCAACCAATCCAATGCTTTCCTATAGGCTACTGAGCATGTGTGGCAAAAATCTGCACGGTCAATCAGCATCTCCATGGGGAGTGTTCCGCACCTCCATGCAGACCCAATTTAATACACTGCCCCTCCTCCCAAATTTAATACACTGGCCCCCTCCCTTACCCAAATGTCGGCTCATGCTCAGGATAAATGTTGGTCGGCCATCTTGGGGTATACCGCCCGGACCTCGATGCTCGGCAGGGCCGGAGTGGAGGCGTTGCGGCATGCAGTGGTGGTCGCCCGTGGAGACCGGGATGACCCCCCCGGTCCAGGGGGGTGAGGGCGGTAGAGCCGGTCAGAGAACCGGGTGAGTGGCTGTCTCACCCAAGCTCAAGCTTGTAGGCCTCAGGCCTCGGTCGGGTTACTTTGGTGTCATTGGGTGTCCTGTTGGGTATCCCCTGGATCGCCGTCGCCTGGGTAATGCTGTGAACACAATTTCAGGTTGGTAGCTGCTTGTGGTCCGCCGTTAGCTCTGATATTCCAGCTCAGAAGCAGGAGCTCAGACAAAGCATGTCTGACCCGACCGGCGGTCAGGCCACGCCCCCCAGATAAAGGGTATTTAAATCACTCAGTATCTAAACACTTCTGCATACATACTAATGACCCAAAACAACTCAAATGTATAGGCATAAAAAAATGTGTCACCCCTTGGAGAGGTGGCAACATTAAAAATATCTTAGGTAAAACAGAGATAGAATGGGTATTCAATTTAAAACCCCTAATTCCCCATGGTCTTAATGCAGAGTTTGATCTGTTTAATTTTGTTTTAATTTATATGTGACTACTTATTTTACTCCTTTCCTATTTATGAGAGGAAACCAAGGGTTCATTAAACAATATTTTCTATAATTTGGGATAAAAATGACTTTTCCTTTTCCTTCTGCATATTGTTTTTCTTTTATATAATGTTTTGGAAACTATGTTATGTTCACCCTATTGTTTTTCTATGCACTTTTTATGTAAAGTATGTTCTACCTGGATATCAATTGTACACCTTATGTATTTTTATATATATTTAAAAAGATTTTTGTATTTTCATATATTTTTTCCTATTTTTTTATATATTCCTTTTTTCTCTCCCCCTCATTGGCCACTTACCAACCTTTTTATGTTTTTATTCATTTATATCTATTTTGGAGCTTTTCAGCTTGCAATAAGTTCTCCCCCATATGTTGCCACTTGTTACATGGCTCTGGATGCATTATATATCCGAGCCGCCATCCACAATATGGGCATTCCCCAGCCACCCCCACCCAGTTGACCGCGCATGCTCCCTTATTATGTATGCCGCTTCCGTCCCCATGCGCGCCACCGTTTGTGGTCACGCACGCCTCTTATGCCCCCCAGGCGGCATACAGCTGCATAATGACGACATTGCAAGGCGGACTCCTGACGTCGGCTGACACCTACACCTACGCCAGCGGGAACTACGTTTCCCATGCGGCATAGCGTTATGTGATGCAAAAATGCCGCAAATCACATGACCAATTATATATTTTTAAATCATCACTTTCCCACCCTTGTTTTTTTATCTTTTCTAATTACAAAATCTTCCATAATAATATAGTTTTATTAAATATATTCATCCACCAATTTTTATTAGTATTTAAAATTTTCACATATGTTAGTTGTGCACACATTTTGGCGCCACTTTTAAGTGGTTTTATCCCTATATAAAGCCCATCAGCGAGGCATTCTGTTATTATCCATTTGAAAAAGTCCATTGGTTATGTAATTATGCGTATTTTAATCAATAAAAGTCTTTTTGGTTACTTTGCTGTACCAATCCTCTTTTTATTGTATTTTATATGCACTTTTATTATTTTATTCACTTTTCCTGGCCTTTGTTAGGGTTGCTGCCTATGTCTGTCGCCATCCAAGTCAACGGCGCTACTATCACCTCTACCTCCCAGGCTCGCTGCATAGGAGTTCTTTTTGATTCTGATCTCTCTTTTACTCCCCATGTTCAATCGATAGCCAAATCCTGTCGCTTCCAACTCAAGAACATAGCGCGCATCCGCCCATATCTAACGCCGGACGCGGCTAAGGTACTGGTTCATGCTGTTGTTCTCTCTCGCCTTGACTATTGCAATCCCCTTCTCTCCGTTCTTACATGTTCCCAGCTTGCACCGCTGCAATCTATAATGAATACGGCTGTGAGGCTTATTTTCCTGTCCGGTCGCACCTCCCACGCCTCCACGCTCTGTCAGTCCCTGCATTGGCTTCCAGTTAGATATAGGGCCCAATTCAAAATTCTGGCGCTTGCTTACAAATCCCTACATAATGCTGCTCCAACATACCTATCCTCCCTCATACACAAGTATGTCCCGTCGAGACCCCTGCGCTCAGCCCAAGACCTACTCCTATCCTCTGCCCAGATCCCCACCTCTGATGCTCGCCTTCAAGACTTCTCCAGGGCTGCACCTATTCTGTGGAACTCCCTTCCCTCCTCAATCAGACTTTCACCCAGCCTCCATTCCTTCAAAATATCTTTGAAAACTCACTTCTTTATTAAAGCGTATCAATTAAACTGTCAGCAGGTTTCTCATCCCCCACCCCATGACTCCGTTCCTTCACCTGTCAAAAATGACCTACCAAGCACTCAATAAACCCTTCTGTAACAAACTATTTAATTCCCCTACTTTAACCCTTTGTGTCACTATACCCCACTCCCTTTAGCATGTAAGCTCATTGAGCAGGGCCCTCCACCCCCTCTGTTCCTGTACGTGAGTGATCTGATCTCAATTATGTGTCTGTTAGTCCACCCATTGTACAGCGCTACGGAATTTGTTGGCGCTATATAAATAATAAAATAATAAAATAATAATAATATACATACTATTTGTTAATTAGCGCTTACCCATTGTTGTTTTGTGTGTATAAACACTTGATACCTGGATACCCCACAAGACTTAATAAATGTATAACACTTATACACACAGTAATGCAGGTAGATGTATAGCTCAAATACAACCTATATAAACAGAAAGAGAATACAACACATAGTGTGTACTGCAGAACCAGCTGAATCAAATTACACTCAATGCTCACCCAGAGAGCCGTGCCAGGCTCTGTGTGATATCCCCAAGGGTGCCTATATAGGCAAAGGAGGCCACTTGAAAACCTGTCCAGATAAGGAATCCGCCCAAAAAAACAGACCATCAGCAGAACCAGGATCAATAAAAATAATTTATTCAGGACTTATTAAAACAATTAAAAACAATGTAAAAACAAAGTGGTGTAATAAAAATAGTCCTTGAGATCAGAAGCATTTCGATTATAAAAAATCTACATTGACATTTAGAACAGATTTTTTTTATAGTCAAAACACATCTGGTCTCTACCTCAAGTACTATTTGTATTATACCACTTTGTTTTTACATTGTTTTTAATGTGTTGTATTCTCTTTCTGTTTATATAGTTCATATTTGTGCTATACATCTACCTGCATTACTGTGTGTATAAGTATTATACATTTATTTTGTTTTTTTTTATCACACTTATAGGGTGTATTATACATTGTGGTTGTACACATTGTGTTTTTTTGGTTTGTTTCATATTTCACTGTGTAGGTGTTGGGGAAACATCTATCCATACCCTTTAGGCAGTTTATTTCCTCAGAAGCGCCATACTTGTTCATTATCTATATTTAATTTACCCCACTAGACTTGCCATTTTGGAGATGTTCTGACCCAGCAGTTTGGCCATCTTTATGTGGACCTTGTCAACGTCACTCAGATATTTTCACTTGCCCATTTTTTTGTTCTGCTTCCAACACATGGAATTCAAGAACTGACTGTTTGCTTGCTGCCTACTATATTCCACAACTTGACAGGTGCCATTGTAACGATATAATAAATATTTACCTTCACCTGTCAATGGTTTTAATGTTGTGGCTATGAGTCTATCTATCTATCTATCTATCTATCTATCTATCTATCTGTTACATAGTCTGAAAAGAGACATGTGTCCATCGAGTCCAGCCTTCCTCAAATTTGTTTTTTGCTGTTGATCCAAAAGAAGGCAAAACACCCCAGTTTGAATTACTATCCATCTATATAATAATATAAATACAAAGCATCTATTTTATGTGTCTCTTTGCACCTGCAATTACATCAGTTGTTCAAGATCAAGTCACTGAAACTGAATTATAATCACATGGATATTGTCCATATTTATTGTATGATAAAGCAAACAAATAAAGCTTTAGTGTGCAAATATAAAAAGTCAAACAGCACAGGGTTTCTCTAATCAATGTAAGGGTTGGAATAGCCAGTTAGATCAGATTAGAGCAAGAATGTCAAACTCAAAGGCTAAAATGGGCCAAATAAACAAGGTTTAAGCTT